GCCCGGAGGAGCAGAACTACGACGTTGGTGATCGGGAGCTGTTGGCTTTTGTCCAAGCCTTGACTGTGTGGAGGCATTGGCTCGAAGGGGCGAAACACCCTTTCCTCGTCTGGCCGGACAACCGTAACCTGGAGTACATCTGGGCAGCGAGGAGGCTGAATCCTCGACAGGTCAGGTGGGCCCTATTATTCACCCGGTTTGATTTTACATTGTCATACATTCAGGGTACGAAGATCGTGAAGGCAGACGCACTGTCCCGGCTGTATGACACAGAGGAGAGGCCCAGAGACAACACCCCCATACTCCCGGACTCCCGCATTGTGGCGCCGGTAGTATGGGCGATGGACGCCCATACAAATTCAGGGAATTGGTCTAGAGAGGGATCGCGCTGACAGACACGGTCACCATTTTTCTAGCTCCTAGCATACTATGTCAGCAGGACAATAACCTAAAACACAAGGCCAAATCTACACTGGAGTTACTTACCAAGAAGACAGTGAATGTTCCTGAGTGGCTGAGTTACAGTTTTGACCTAAATCTGCTTGAAAATCTACGGCAAGACCTGAAAATGGTTGTCTAGCAACGATGAACAACCAATTTGACAGAGCTTAAAGAATTTTGAAAATAATAATGGGCAAATGTTGCACAGTCCAGATGTGGAAAGCTCTTCGAGACTTACCCAGAAAGAAAATCACAGCTGTAACCGCTGCCGAAGGTGATTCTAACATGTATTGACTCAGGGGGTTGAATACTTATCTAATCAAGATGTACATTATTAGAGTTTTATTTTTCATGTTTACATTTACAAATGTAATTTTTTCAAACACTTTGACAGGGTATTTTGTGTAGATTGTTGACAAAAAATAGACAATTAAATCCATTTTAATCCCACTTTGTAACACAACAAAATGTGGAAAAAGTCAAGTGGTGTGAATACTGTCTCAATTTATTCTGCAAGATCTGGATTTGCTAGTTAACATACATATATAGTTTAATAACTGCTGAACACTGTAAATGTCTATATGTTTACCTCATAATGTATCAATTTGACATCAATTTATGTTGGAACCAAATCATATACTGTATGAATGTGGCTGTAAATACTGCATCATCATTCTCCAGTGGAAAGATTCACTCTGTTCTACAATTTGGAATTATAGTTTAGTGTACAATGCACTACTTACCTGGGTTGATATAACAATATATTCCACTCATTATCTGAATTTCAGTAATACACTGTAATCTTTATGATTTCAAGCAGAGAGACAGGCGATACTGTATCAGTTGACAAGTCACATAGAAAAGGTGATCTTGTACAATGTTGCATGGGGCAGAAATGGCATACAACACTTTCACAGTAGCCAACTGCTTTACAATACCCCTATTTCTGGTTTTGTCCTACATATGTACTGTATAAAGCAGTGGTTCTCAAACTTTTTTGGCCCGCAACCCCATTTTGATTTTGAAATGTTTTTGCAACCCCACCATGGGAGAAAGAGTTATGTAATCAACGGCCAATGTTTACTTTTTTTATTTGGGCTATGACAGTTTACTACAAATCAGTTTGACAGTACTTTTGACAGTATTTCAATCTGAAGGAAGTATGGTTTGAAGTGACTGAAATGCATCAGAAAGGTATTGGGAAGTTCAGAAGATCATCAGGCAATAATTTTGTGTGCTCTTGATGATGTTATTTCCCCCCCAGTCTGATTTAGTGCCTGGTCTTGTCCACTCTTGAGTCCTGTGCGGCTTGTAGAGGGAAACAGAAGACACATACGTGTTCCTGAGAGTCGTATCTTTCAGCGATGGATCATAATATTTTGTAGCTTAAACGGTTTAAAAGATAGAGACACATTTGTAGGAAGAAAACAGAAACCACTCTGTTTATTACTGGTTATTATTGGGCTCCTGAGTGGCGCAGTCTAAGGCACTGCATCTCAGTGCTAGAGGCGTTACTACAGACCCTGGTTCGATTCCAGGCTGTATCACAATCCGGCCATGATTGGGAGCCCCATAGGGCGGCGCACAATTGGTCTAGCGTCGTTCGGGTTTGGCCGGGGTAGGCCGTCATTGTAAATAAGAATTTGTTCTTAACTGACTTGCCTAGTTAAATAAAAAAATTTAAAATTAAAATTACAAACCCATCTAGTGGCTACCAGAGGTTACTAACATAATGCCGGTTCTGTTACGGTCCGGCTCTGTTGGTCCTGTTCCTGTTGGTGTTCTTTTCCCTTTTCTCCCCTGTGTGTGTTGTTTGTGTCTGTCTCCCCCTGCTGTGCAGTCAGAGGTTCTAGGTCAGCGGGCGTGGCCTTTCTATCATCAGATCAGTTGCATCAAGCTGCAGCTCATTGGCACCAATCAAGCAGCAGATATCTACCCGGGCTGGACACCTCTCCAGCGCCAGTTCGTTCCTACACTTCCAGTGGTAACTTGGCCCGTACAGCACTCTCAGTGTAGTTGTACTCTCTCAGTATTATTGTTGTTCCTGCCACGTTTTGTAACCTGTCTCTCCTTCGACCAGATCTCGTCTGTTCCTGCTGCCTGCTTGCCTGCCTGCCTGCCTGCCATTCCCACGCCGCTACCTGCTCCTCTGTTGCCTGATATCCTCGTTATCCAGCTCTCAGGACTACTGGCTCTCCACTCCACTCAGCTCCTACCCCAGCCTGAAGCTATTCCACCCTGACTACTTACCTCTGCCAATACACGTTGAATAAACTACATCCTAATTTTACTCTCCTTGTCCGTGTGTCCGTCTCTGCACCTGAGTCCCCCACCCAACCTAACAGGTTCTATGAACCAAGCAAGACTTTATTTCAGTTTCTCTCCCGACCTCATTTTCAAATTAGGCAACCCCACATGTGGTCGTGACCCCTAGTTTGGGAAACACTGGTATAAGGATAATGAAACTGTAAGACTGACATATTTCTCAACATGCTCACAACATGCCATTGAATACAAGTTATTTAAAAAAGTGTGCATGTCAAGTTATAGTTAAATAATTACAGTGAGGGAAAAAAGTATTTGATCCCCTGCTGATTTTGTACGTTTGCCCACTGACAAAGAAATGATCAGTCTATAATTTTAATGGTAGGTTTATTTGAACAGTGAGAGACAGAATAACAACAACAAAATCCAGAAAAACATATGTCAAAAATATTATAAATTGATTTGCATTTTAATGAGGGAAATAAGTATTTGACCCCTCTGCAAAACATGACTTAGTACTTGGTGGCAAAACCCTTGTTGGCAATCACAGAGGTCAGACGTTTCTTGTAGTTGGCCACCAGGTTAGCACACATCTGAGGAGGGATTTTGTCCCACTCCTCTTTGCAGATCTTCTCCAAGTTATTAAGGTTTCGAGGCTGACGTTTGGCAACTCGAACCTTCAGCTCCCTCCAGTTTGAAGTGAATGTGTATCTTGAATGTGTATCTTGTAATTTATTCTATTGGATTAAATGGTAGTTAAAATGACTAAATGGTGAGCCTATCATTATCTAATGTATCGGTGACTAATCAAAATGTGCTCATGGTATTTCAAGGAAAACTTGTGTGAAACCCCAATGAATGCACAATCAAAGCTTCTGAACAATAGAATGGGGGCATTACAAAAAACTGTATATACAACCCAGGTATTTCAGAAATGCATTGTACATTACACTATACACTAAGTGTGCAAAACATTAAGAACACCTTGCTACTATTGAGTTGCACCCCCTTTTGCCCTCAGAACAGCCTCAATTCGTCGGGGCATGATTTCTAGAAGGCAACGAAAGCGTTCCACAGGGATGCTGGCCCATATTGACTCCAATGCTTCCCACAGTTGTGTCAAGTTGGCTGGATGTCCTTTGGGTGGTGGACCATTCTTGATACATATGTGAAACTGTTGAGCGTGAAAAACCCAGCAGCGTTGCAGTTCTTGACACAAACCGGTGCGCCAGGCACCTACTACCATACCCCTTTCAAAGGCATCCTGATGGAGGATGATTATATAGTATTTACAGCCACATATGATTACGTTACCTTCCAACATAAATTGATGTAAAAAAAAAAAATTTGGTTACTGGCCCAACGCTCTTAACCGCTAGGCTACCTGCCGCCCTGTCAATTGTCAATTGATACATTAATGATGTAAGAATTTAGAACTTCACAGAGTTTAGCAGTTATCAAACAATATGTGAACTAGGCACTAAATCATTTTGGTTCAGTATTTATCCGTTTTTAGCAATTTGATTAAGTGATAGTTAAATGTATTAACAAAATAACAAGAAAATAACATGAAAAGTAATGTGAATATTGCATTTTGAAAAGCAGATATGTACATTGAATATGTTTCCAAATTTGCTCCAGCTGTGCCGTACTTCAATGGCTGATCCTCTAAAAAAAAACATTTCACTGCACCTAGTCGGTGTATGTGACAATAAAATATATAAATATAAATATATATATATTTTTTTTTGATAGTCAGAAACAATCAAAAAAGATTAGCGCATGATAAATATATAATTACACAATGTTGTATATATTACCTTTTTTTCCCCCAATCCCTTTGGTGCAATTTTCACAGGTATGTAGTACATTTTCACAACTCTAAGCACAAAAATCTAAACAGATCATCAAAATGTCTCGATACTGACAGAACTGGCAAAGCCTCCAATGACATGACATGTGTCGGTCACAAAGACCTTTCTCAAGGCCATGACCAAAATGTTGGACGTTAGCAAATGTTACACAATTGTTTTGAATAGTGTGCTACTAAAGGAACATTAGCCAGGGCATTTGATTGGCTAAAACCTTGACTCAGAAAAGGAACGGTCAGATAAGGAGGGGGCGGATTTCCAATAAGTAAACAACGCTCCATCTATTATAAAGGTGGCCACGACTCCTTCATCCTCGTCGCAGCATCCAGTGAACAGTGCGGATCAGTTCTTGTGGTGAAGCCATTGCGATGAAGTGGAGTGCAGTTTGTCTAGTGGCAGTGGCCACGCTTGGCTGTCTGTGTGATGCTCAGAATTACAACGAAAAACCAGGGTGGCCACCCATCCAGAAACCACCGTCGTGGCCTCCCCAACCCCCTCAGAGGCCTGCCCAACCCCCTCAGTGGCCTGCCCAACCCCCTCAGAAGCCTGCCCAATCCCCTCAGTGGCCTGCCCAACCCCCTCAGAAGCCTGCCCAACCCCTTCAGAGGCCTGCACAGCCCCTTCAGAGGCCTGCACAGCCCTCTCAGTGGCCTGCCCAACCCCCTCAGAGGCCTGCCCAACCCCCTCAGAGGCCTGCTCAACCCCAGCAGTGGCCTGCCCAACCCGCTCAGAGGCCTGCCCAACCCCCTCAGAGGCCTGCTCAACCCCAGCAGTGGCCTGCCCAACCCGCTCAGAGGCCTGCCCAACCCCCTCAGAGGCCTGCTCAACCCCAGCAGTGGCCTGCCCAACCCCCTCAGAGGCCTGCTCAACCCCAGCAGTGGCCTGCCCAACCCCCTAGGCAGCCTCAGAAGCCTAACTTACCTTCTGACCCGATAGGCCCAGGCTCAAAGCAGAGCTGTGATGTTGAGGGCCCCCACAAGGTGCAGTGTGGACTTCCTGACATCACTGCTGCCCAATGTGAGGCCATCAACTGCTGTTTTGATGGGCGGATGTGCTTCTATGGAAAAGCAGGTAGGTGTTGGACCATGCTCATTTTACTCTAGAACTCTATGTTGTAACAGTGCGGTTTTACTTTATGTATTGCCCCCTCAGAGAAACGTGTTTATCGTACTTCACCAGAAAACAAATAATTGGATTCTGAACTCTTCACTCTGATTCCACTTCCACTTACCAATTATAGATGGCAATTCTTATCCAAAGTAGTTTAAATTCAACATGTTCCAACATGCTCCAGTTTACTCAAGAACACTAACTTCATGTTTTTGTTATGCTCTTTGTCACCAGTGACTGTTCAGTGTACCAAGGATGGCCAGTTTGTTGTGGTGGTGGCCAGGGATGCCACTCTGCCCAAACTGGATCTGGAGTCCATCAGCCTGCTGGGGGGAAACGGAGCCCACTGCACCTCTATCGGCACCACTTCTGTCTTCGCCATCTACCAGTTTAAAGTCACTGAATGTGGAACTGTCATGACGGTACGCATCACTTGTGCTTGGCTTCAGTCTTAGTACAGGGAAGTAGTTCCTCACTCCTTCAAATAATTTGATCACATCATCCATATTGGTTGCAACAATTATCATATAATTGATTGTTTATTCAGGTTTAAAGATGCTGCCACATTGTGACAAAAGCTCTTTGTCAAAGCTATAATGATTTTGCCTAAAAAATGAGCTGTATAACATAGTTGTGTTTATTGCAGGAGGAAACTGATACTATTGTCTATGAGAATAGGATGTCCTCTTCATATCAAGTGGGGGTTGGCCCCTTTGGCTCCATCACCAGGGACAGCCACTATGAGTAGGTGATATTCAATAATAATGATTATAACAACATAATAACAACATCCTAAGGAACCATTTGTTTAAAATGTTGTGTACTGTATATGGGGCCAGGGGCCTCATTTATCAACCGTGCATACATTTCTTATAAAATTCTGGCGTAGGTGGAGATTCTAGGATTTGCTTGAGCAACAAATTATTGGGATTTATCAAACTGTCGCACGCAACATATACGCATGTTGTCATTGATAAATCAGAGCCATACTATATTTGTGTGCTCGTGAACGAGCGCTACAACCCCCCCATGAAAATAATCCCTCAATTCGCATTTAATGGTAACAAAAACACCCTCATTTGGTGTATGATTTGGAGATGTTGGAATTGGGCCAAGACAGTTTCTAAAAGAAAAAGCAAGGGCAAATACGATCACATTTATGTAGAGGTGTGGGCAGAATGCTTTAATCTTTTTCAGTTAACTTTTCAACAAAAAATGCATCCTGCCTATAGCGATTGCCAGACACTGGCATCACATTCTGCAAGTTTGATTGTCTATTGAAACAATTTAAAAGTAAATGCTACAGCACACTTCTTTGGAAATAATAAATATTTGGCTTATCAATAGATTTTGTTTCTATCTCCTGCCTTGGTGTAGGCTCTGAATTTAAAGAGGCTATGATGTTGCACTCCTAGCAATACTGTAGCCTTCCCAATTTAAGTATTCTACCGGTCTATTTAATTCCAAGCATGTTTTGCTATTAAATGAGCGATGGATAAATGGTAGGCTAATAGTTGTTGTGTAGCGGGAATAAACCAGTCGTGAAAAAAGGAGAGACATGTCCTGCAATATGATTATGATTTACATTTACATTTTTACATTTTAGTCATTTAGCAGACGCTCTTATCCAGAGCGACTTACAGTTAGTGAATGCATTTTTTATTTTATTTTTCATACCCCCCGTGGGAATCAAACCCACAACCCTGGCGTTGCAAACGCCATGCTCTACCAACTGAGCTACATCCCTGCCGGCCATTCCCTCCCCTACCCTGGACGACGCTGGGCCAATTGTGCGCCGCCCCATGGGTCTCCCGGTCGAACCAGGATCTCTAGTGGCACAGCTAGCACTGCAATGCAGTGCCTTAGACCACTGCGCCACTCGGGAGTAGGCCTATATAATACAAGTAAAAGAAACACATTAGGCTACATGCTGCCATGCGATCTCCTTACCAATGGAAAACGTATCTGTTTTATGATTAGGCCTATGTTATAATGTTTTCATTAGCCTACCATTATTATAATTCCTGTACACCTCCATTTCCTTCAAAATAACAATATTTGCTTGCAATACAATTGATCAACCACTATAAGTTGTGCGTACGCACGGTCAGAGATTTGCGTGGAGATACGCACACTTTCCTGTTAAGTTCAACAGCGATAAATACCATCCTTTGTGGGAAAACTGGTGCACACAAGGTTTAGAGTCTTTTTTGTGCACACATACCTTTGATAAATGAGGCCCCTAGGTGGGAATTTTGCCAAGACACTGGAGTTAACACAATTTTTCTTGTTAAATGAGCAATTGGATCTTTAGTCATCACCTTATATGGCCTGCTTTAAAGTCTCTCAGACACCTTCAAGATGTCTGACCACACTCCCTTTCTTCCCAGTCTAATATTCCAGTGCAGATATAAGGGCAGCACCATTGAGGCTCTGGTTATTGAGGTGAAGCAGGTGCCTCCCCCAATTCCTCCGATAGCTCCTGGACCCCTCACAGTTGAGCTCAGACTGGCCAACGGAGTATGCCTCTCCAAGGGATGTAATGAAGGTATGTGGCACTATATTCATTGATTGGTTGGTTGGTTGGATTAATAAATGGGTGAATTAATTAATCTTTCCTTTTTTGAAACAGAGGAGGTGGCCTACAACTCTTACTACACAGAGGCAGACTACCCTGTCACCAAGGTCCTCAGGGATCCCGTGTACACCGAGGTTCGCATCCTGGCGAGGACAGATCCCAACATTGTGCTGACCCTGGGTCGCTGCTGGGCCACCACAACCCCCAACCCTCTCAGCCTGCCCCAGTGGGATCTTCTCATTGATGGGTAAATATCTGAATAAGTAGTAGTAAAGTAGAAGTTGTAAACATTTTCGTAACAGTACATTCAATTTCTGTTCTGCCGTTCCTTGTGAAGATGAGGAAAATGATCAGCAGCACTAGGAGAACCTCACTTCAAAAATACCTCTTCATTGTCAAAACCAACGTGTTTCATCTCACAGCAATGTATTTGCAATTGCTGGTGTAAATTGAGAGTCGTAACATGGCATGCGGCATGCCCACCCTGACGCAGACAGAAAGACACTTGACCATGACTTTGTCTGTCTGTCTACGTCTCACTCTCTCTGTGTCTCTCTCTCCGTTCATATCATTAGATGTCCCTACCAGGATGACCGTTACCTGACCATTCCCATCTCTGTGGGAGCCTCTTCGAGTGTGTCCTTCCCAACCCACTACAGGCGCTTCGTTCTTAAGATGTTCACCTTTGTGGATCCAACATCTATGTCCCCCCTGAGGGAGACGGTATGACCATAGAGATACATATATGTTACATATTTACAGATATTGTTCTATTTAATTCTGTGGGTATGACTGTGTTCTAATTCTACTGGAACAATAGAGTTCAAATTGATCATAATTCTAATAAGAGGGTTGAAACAACTACATTGATGTTGTTGATTGCCATGCTAACATTGTTTATTAAATTCATGCACGAAATAGAAGTACTGTACTTTATGGTTATATTAGATTTTTTGGTAAGACTTTTCACTGTCCTATTACAATTGGTATTTGTGAAATTATTGCTACTTTCTGGTAATGAATTATTTAATAATATTGTATTGGCTTGCTTGGTCACAATTGGTACTTTCTGGTAGGCCAATTTGTTACAATTACATAGGTAATATAAAACCATATAGTTTACATAAATATGAAACTACTCTAATTTATTCTTGGGTAATAATTATCTAGCTAGATAATTATTACCTTCTTTAAAAAAAAAATCTGTACTGTCTCTTGCAGGTGTTCATCCATTGTAATACAGCTGTGTGCCAGCCATCCATTGGAGACAACTGTGAACCAAGATGCTTCAGAAAGAGTGAGTTACTTTTCTCTACATTCCATTCAAGCAAATAGTTTCCTTCCCCTCTACCCTTCCCTACAGTTTGAGTCTCATCCCTCTCTCTGCAACTGACCACATAAAATGTCATTTCCAGAGAGAGACACTGCTGCTGCAGTTCAGAAGAGCACCAGAGTCAAGTCTGTTTTGGTTTCCAGTGGCGAACTGATCCTGACTGACCCAAGGGAGCTCACAAGCTAGAAAATCGTTTGAATGAACTCCAGCACTTTGTCACCTTGGTGCTTTCGGTTGTCATGATGACTTCACAGTCAGGGATGTGCAAATAAATCTGACTGTTTTCAAACTTGTTGTCGTAACGTTTTTGGATATCGTTCCATTAATTCCATTTGGCCTTCCTCCACTTTAAGCCTTCCTCCATTATAAAGTGATACCAGCCTCCACTGGTGTGTGTGTGTGTGTGTGTGTGTGTGTGTGTGTGTGTGTGTGTATGTGTATGTGTACAGTGAGGGAAAAAAGTATTTGATCCCCTGCTGATTTTGTACGTTTGCCCACTGACAAAGACATGATCAGTCAATAATTTTAATGGTAGGTTTATTTGAACAGTGAGAGACAGAATAACAACAAAAAAATACTGAGAAACTCATGTCAAAAATGTTATAAATTGATTTGCATTTTAAACGAGGGAAATAAGTATTTGACCCCTCTGCAAAATATGACTTAGTACATGGTGGCAAAACCCTTGTTGGCAATCACAGAGGTCAGACGTTTCTTGTAGTTGGCCACCAGGTATGCACACATCTCAGGAGGGATTTTGTTCCACTCCTCTTTGCAGATCTTCTCCAAGTCATTAAGGTTTCGAGGCTGACGTTTGGCAACTCGAACCTTAAGCTCCCTCCACAGATTTTCTATGGTATTAAGGTCTGGAGACTGGCTAGGCCACTCCAGGACCTTAATGTGCTTCTTCTTGAGCCACTCCTTTGTTGCCTTGACCAAATGTTTTTGGTCATTGTCATGCTGGAATACCCATTCACGACCCATTTTCAATGCCCTGGCTGAGGGAAGGAGGTTCTCACCCAAGATTTGACGGTACATGGCCCCGTCCATCGTCCCTTTGTTGCGGTGAAGTTGTCCTGTCCCATTAGCAGAAAAACACCCCCAAAGCATAATGTTTCCACCTCCATGTTTGACGGTGGGGATGGTGTTCTAGGGGTCATAGGCAGCATTCCTCCTCCTCCAAACACGGCGAGTTGAGTTGATGCCAAAGAGCTCGATTTTGGTCTCATCTGACCACAACACTTTCACCCAGTTCTCCTCTGAATCATTCAGATGTTCATTGGCAAACTTCAGACGGCCCTGTATATGTGCTTTCTTGAGCAGGGGGACCTTACGGGCGCTGCAGGATTTCAGTCCTTCACGGCATAGTGTGTTACCAATTGGGAGCTGCAACCTTGCCAAAGCCCCGAATAAACCTCCGATAGTAGTTGGCAAAGCCAAGGAAGCGCTGCACCTCCTTCACCGTGGTTGGTGTCAGCCAATTACGCACGGCTGAAATGCAATCTCCCTCCATCTCCACACCTGTGGTAGTAATGCGGTATCCAAGGAAGGAGATTGACTGCTGGAAAAACTCACACTTCTCTGCCTTGGCATGAAGATCATTTTCCAGCAGTCGGACCAGTACCTTGCGAACCAGGAACACATGCTCGGCGCGCGTAGAGGAATACACCAGGATGTCATCAATGTAGACCACCACACCACAACCAAGCATGTCCCGAAACACCTCGTTCACAAAGGACTGGAAAACGGATGGAGCATTCATCAAACCGTAGGGCATCACCAGGTATTCATAATGCCCCCGAGGTTGTGCTGAATGCTGTTTTCCATTCATCCCCTTCCCGAATAGACACCAGGTTGTACGCACTCCTGAGGTCTAATTTGGTGAAAAAACAGGCCCCATGCATTGACTCAATCACTGAAGGAATGAGGGGAAGAGGATAACTAAATCTTACTGTCACCTTATTCAGTGGTCGATAATCAATGCACGGGCATAAACCGCCCTCTTTCTTCTTCACAAAGAAGAAACTTGAGGAAGCAGGTGAAGTGGAGGGACGTATATACCCCTGGCGCAGGGACTCAGTGACGTATGTTTCCATAGCCTCTGCGACAGGGGATACACATGACTCCTGGGAGGTACAGCGTCTACCCAAAGGTTTATCGCGCAATCCCCCTCCCGATGAGGTGGTAATTTAGTCGCTTGCGTCTTGGAAAACACAAGCACCAGATCATGATATTCGGGGGGAATGTGTATGGCGGGAGTACCGTCTGGACTTTCCACCATAGTCGCACCAACGGAAACACCTAGACACCTACCCGGACACTCACGCGACCATCCCGTAAGAACCCTCTGCGGCCATGACAAATTGGGGTTGTGAAGGGCTAACCACGGAATACCTAAGACTACGGGGTAATCAGGAGACTCAACAATCAAAAAGGTGATCTGCTCAACATGCGTCTCCTGTGTAATCATGGTGACTGGTACAGTAACCTCCTTAACCAACCCGGACCCTAATGGTCGACTATCAAGTGCTCTGATGGGGAGTGGAATGGATAGAGGAACCAATTAAATGCCTTGACGGTGTGCAAATGCCCTGTCCATAAAGTTCCCAGCTGCGCCTGAATCGACTAGCGCCTTACACTGGGAAACTACCAGGTGATCGGGAAAGGAGATAGATAGGGTACAGTGCGCCGCAAAGGGCTCTGAACAAGTTTGGGTGTTCGTTACCTGGGGTGATGAGTGAGTACCCTGCCTACCACCTCCAGACCCAAAATAATGTTGACTGCGACGTGAGGTGGATTGTCCCTTCGTGCCACCAGAGTGGCACTGTCGCTGTCCTCCTGCGCTCTCTCGATCGGCGGCTCCCCCCAGTTCCATCTGCTCAGAGTCGTCCAGAGTGGGAACGGGCAGACCCCTACCAGGACGTCCTCTGGCTGCTAGCAGATTGTCCAGCCGGATGGCCATGTCCACCAGTTGGGAGAACGTTAGCATGTCATCACGGCAGGCTAGCTCCCGTCGGACGTCCTCCCTTAGGTGGCACCGGAAATGGTTGATCAGTGCCCGCTCGTTCCACCCGGACCCCGCTTCCAGCGTCCGGAACTCCAGCGCGTAGTCCTGTGCGGTCCTTGTCCCCTGCCTCAGATGGACCAGTCGTTCGCCCGCCTCTCGCCCCTCAGGCGGGTGATAAAAAACAGCCCGAAAGAGGCGAGCAAACTCCCCGTGGCCCACTACAGGCCTCTCCCACAAAGGCAGGAAACGAGGATGGATACCTTCTCCCGCTCCAGTAGCGCCGGCCTGATGCTGGAGAAATAGAGCTCGAGGAGGAGCATAAATCCCTTACATCGCGCTGCCGTCCCATCAAACGCCAGTGGCCGGGATATCTGGATCCCTCCAGGGGCTGGGGTGTAGGTGGCTGGATTCGGTTGGCCAGCTGGTCTCGATAGATTGGGTCCTCTCCTCTCCAGGCGTTCTACTACCTGAAGAACCCGATCCATCGCTTCCCCCAAGCTGGCCAGCATTGAGGAATGCTCCTGGACCCTTGCCACAACTCCAGGCATGCAGTCTTCCCCTGCTGACTCAATTCAGCGGGTGAGTGATTCTGTGACGAGGTGTGAATAAAGGAGTAAGGCACAGGAGGTAAAACACCGAAGTCCAGAGTTTATTCCGTTTACATAAATCAAACCTTCCCAGCGTGAAAACGAACTATAACAAGGGAAAACATTCCACCTTGTCAAGTACAAATAGAAGAGTAGAGCTACTCGCTCTCACAATAAACAATCACTCACAAAGACAAGGGGAACAGAGGGAACACTTATACACATACTAATTAGGGGAATGAGCACCAGGTGTGTGTGATTGACAAGACAAGACATGACAAGTGGAGTGATGAGAATGGGATTGGCAGTAGCTAGTAAGGTGGGTCTAATCCTGAATGCTGATTGGTTAAAACCGCATTCCAGCCAGTGTCTATTCCACAAGTTACCACCCGCTAAATCTATGACGTTAAAATGCCTGACTGCGCAATCCACTGTCTCATCAGGCCAGCCAGGCAATTTATAAACTCCAGTATAAAAAAGCATCTAGACATTATCCCACATTGCTTTTAGACTAACATTTAGTTTAACATTGGGGATTTGTATAAACCTTGCTGTCAGTCTCTCTGACATTTGCAACATTGTTTCAATGTTCAGATTCAATCTCCAGCTGTCCCAAAGCAATGAACGTGTCGAGAGTCGGGACGAGACAGACATGCAGGCAGCGTTTCTCAGCCAGTCGAAATCATGAAACTGGCATAAGTTTTATGGATAGACACTACCAGTCAAAAGTTTGGACATTCCTACTCATTCAATTATTTTTTTTTTTTTTACATTGTAGAATAGTAGTGAAGACTTCAAAACTATGAAATAACACATATGGAATCATGTAGTAACCAAAAAAGTGTATATAGAAGATAACCCTATTTGGTAAAAGACCAAGTCCATATTATGGCAATGACAGCTCAAATAAACAAAGAGAAACGACAGTCCATCATTACTTTAATTAATGAAGGTCAGTCAATACGGAACATTTCAAGAACTTTGAAAGTATCTTCAAGTGCAGTCGCAAAAACCATCAAGTGCTGTGATGAAACTGGCTCTCATGAGGACCACCACAGGAGGCCTGATTCACGCAGAGGATACGTTCATTAGAGTTACCAGCCTCAGAAATTGCAGCCCAAAGTCACAGACACATCTCAACATCAACTGTTCAGAGGGACTGTGTGAATCAGGCCTTCATGGTTGAATTGCTACGAAGAAACCACTACTAAAGGACACCAATAAGAAGAAGAGACCTGCTTGGGCCAAGAAACATGACCGGTGAAAATGTCTCCTTTGGTCTGGAGTCCAAATTTGAGATTTTTGGTTCCAACCGCCCTGTCTTTGTGAGACGCGGTGTGGGTGAATGGATGATCTCCGCATGTGTAGTTCCCACCGTAAAGCATGGAGGAGGAGGTGTTATGGTGTGGGGGTGCTTTGCTGGTGACACTGTCTGTGATTTATTTAGAATTCAAGGCACACTTAACCAGCATTGCTACCACAGCATTCTGCAGCGATACGCCATCCCATCTGGTTTGGGCTTAGTGGGACTATCATTTGTTTTTCAACAGGACAATGACCCAACACACCTCTAGGCAGTGTAAGGGCTATTT